TCATAAGAAGGCAGAGATGCGAATATTCGAGTTTATACACAACAACAGAACATCGTTTCTAAAGGAAATATCACCAATCTCGTTGGTGTGGAAATTTTATTCAGTCACAAACTAGATGCAGATGGATGAGTGCCTTTGAATGTACAATATTCTTTTTGTTTTCTGATAGCTGAGTACAAAATGCACAGATGAAAAGTAAAGACTTCCGTAAGTATGGTTTGCTGAATAGTAAAGACTTGCAATTCTCGAGCAAAACAATTAAATTTCACGACCATGAATTTAAGGTAAGTCAACTTCATTTCTCGCCCTATTCTCGCCCATCAACAACCTTATATTGTAGTTTTTCACCAATTTCGCCCGAGAATATACCGATCTCGCCCGAGAAATTACGTTGCCAGCGAAGGGTAGTTGGATACATTTACTTCCACTGACAAGTCATAAAAAGCTGTTTTGGGTCATCTAAAACAAATTTTCAAGGGTGGGTTATTTGAGCAAAGTGAAAACTTAGGAGGGTCATTTGAGTCAATTCTCGTTAACGGAAGAGTCTTCACCACTCCATCTCCATTTTTTCCGACTGAAGCTATTCCGGCCAAATGTGGCTATCTTCCGGTCAACCCTACCTCCCCGTTTGCCTCCGCCATCTACTCCGCATATACAAAACCCAAGCTCCAATTTCGCCTCCCCAAAAACCCTCTTCTCATCTGGCTCTAGGGCGACAATTTACAAAAAAAACCCCTATTGGTTGCCATTTCTTTATTTCTTGAATTGGATTCAAAGTTCAAGAATAACCCATGTACATCTTGATTTGGGGCAAAATCAGTCTTTTCCAAAACCTAACAAAAACAAAATCTCATCATCATTGATTTCGACTGGAGTCTTCGTCGAAATCTTCAAGGAATGTGGAACACTCATTGTTAACCTTCTTTCTCCGTTTTTTTAATTTAACCAATATCATTTTTAATTTGTCAAACTCTAATTTTCCAGCTCATTTGCCACATAATTTATAAAATTGCCAAGTTTACAAGCCACGTCATCATTTAACAGCCCAGTCAAGGTCAACTAACGGCCAACTCACTTCAAGGACCATTTAAAATCATCTTCCAAGCTTTCGGGACCAAAAATGTCTCTTTTGAAATTTTAAGGACCAAATAGATACCTAACTTAAACTTAGTGACCTTATTTTAATATTTTTTAAGCATTCTTTAAGTAAAAAGTAAAAAATAATACTTTTATTATGCTTTTGAAAAAATTGAAGATAAGAACGAAAAAAAAGAAACTTGACCCCCGCCCCCCCCCAAAGAATCTATTTTAAATCTCAAATTTCCTAAATTTAACTTCACATAATTACCAAATTTGGGACTTTTTTTTTTTAATAAGGTTTCTTTTAAAACTTTTTATAACAATATATTCTCCACCAAATTATTTTCAAGAGACTACATGCATCGTTAAATTTTATTTTATTTTGCTAAATCTCAATATGTTGTCAGAGACGGTCTATGTTGGCCACGTATTGTAGGTCGTATTTTTTTCAAAATCTCTTTAACTCATGCTTAATGGGGATAATTATGAGATCTGGGCCATGAAAATCCAGTATGTACTAGAAGAGTAAGATGCTATAGAAATATTAAGCAATGTGTTGACTGAGCCTGAGGAGGACAATAGTGCTTAACATAGGAGGGACAAAGAGGCTTATGAAGCCTGGAAGAAGGAAAACTCACTTGCTCGCATAACTTTGCTAAACAGCATGGACAATGATGTCATGGTGAGTTTCCCTCTTATGACCTTGCCTAGGACACGTGGGAAGCGTTAAAGTTGAAATTTGGTGGAACCTCTGTCACCAAAGTTAGACAACTTACTATTAAGTTTGATACTTATAAAAAAATGCTCTAATCATAATATGAAACAACACATGAGAGAGATGTCTAATATGATTACTGAGCTGAAAGAAGCTAATCATGTCCTGACTAATGAACAACAAGTTCAAGCTGCTATTCGATCTCTTACCCAAAATTGGGAACACATGAAGGTTCATCTTATCCATAATGAGGGAATTTTAACTCTTACTGATGTTTCACATCATCTTGAATTGGAAGAAGACCGTTTTTAGAGGCAACAAGGCTTGACAATGCTGAAGTTTATGTTGCTGGCCCTAGTTCACATGGGAACAAAAGGCACAAGTGTAAACATCAGGGAAGTTTTAAAGGGAAAATAGATCACAAGAATAAGAAACCCAAGCAAAGTCAGAATAACAAGGGTAAGAGGAAACGTCCCATGATTCGTCTTAAAAATAAGAAAGCAAATATCAAGTGCTACAATTGTCACCAGAAGGGTCACTATGCTCGCGAGTGTACTGAACTCAAGAAGGTATAAACTTTCTAGGGTACAAGAGTCTTATTGACTGAATCTCATCCTTTGTGGACTGTAGACTCAAGAGCAACCGACCACATAGCAAAAGATCGTGGGGTGTATGTGGAATTTCGTCGAATTCCATCAGAAGCTAGGTGACTGTATGTAGGAAACAATGCCCGAGTGCATGTAAAGGGCATTGGTTCCTACAAGTTGAACATGTGGAATGGGCGCATTCTACTTCTGCATGATATGTTGTATGCACCTGATATTCGGCGAAATTTGCTTTCTATTACTGTCCTTCTCAAACTTGGTAATGGTTTTATTGTATTGGATGTTGCTGAAATAATATCTTATAATTCTGCAAGTTTTTCCCTTATAACATCATCTGTTGATGCCAATATTGACATGATTATGTGGCATGCTAGATTAGGTCATATAGATCAATATAGAATGGCTAGATGGGCTAAGGAATGTTTATTCAGTCAATTCGACAAAATAGAATTACCTTTATGTGAAAGCTGTCTAGCGGGAAAA